TATTTGAGAGCAATTTTATATTTATTCATGAAGGGATAATGCTTTAAATTATATTATTGATAAAGTTTATTGATTATTTAATTTTAGATAGGTAAAATGTGTAGTTTGAAAATATTTTCTAGAAAATTATAATCTTTAATTGTTTGAAAGTTAAAGATGTTATTGTAAATACCCGGCCGGTCGATTTTAGAGTTATAGCCCCGATTCCCTATTAACTGCTTCTCCCATATTTATTTTTGCTATTGTAACTTGCCAGGAGGTTTCATTTTGGTTTTTGGAGTGATTTGGGACACTTAATCTCTAAACGAAAGCTTAAGTCTTAGGATTTTGACCGTAATCGTAACTGTGTGAAGACGACTCCGCAATAGAGTTTCGTCAGTTTCGTTAGCTCCGTTGGGTAATTTTGGACTTAGGAGCGCATCCGGATTATACTTTGGAGGTCCGTAGCTTATTTAGGCTTGAAATGGCGAAAGTCGAATTTTTGGAAATTTGGACCGGTAGTGAAAATTTTGATATCGGAGTCGAATTTCGATTACGGAAGTTGAAGTAGGTCTGTAGTGTTGAATATGACTTATGTGCAAAATTTAAGGTCATTCGGATGAGAATTGATATGTTTCGACGTCGTTTGTAGAATTTAGAAATTTCAAAGTTAATTAGGCTTGAATCCGTGCATAATCCGTATTTTTGATGTTGTTCGAAGTGATTTGAAGGATCGACTAAGTTCATATGGTATTTTAGGATTGGTTGGTATATTTGGTTGAGGTCCCGGGGGTCTCGGGCGTGTTTCGGATGCTCAACGAGTCATTTTTGGACTTAGGGAGTTGGCAAATTTTCTGGTGTTATTGCAGACATTTTTCTTTATCGCGTTCGTGAGGGAGATCTCGTGATCGCGTAGGTCATCTGATAGGTAAGCTAAAATTTCTCTTCGCGTTCGCGAAGATAAAGACGCGATCGCGTAAGGTTATCAGGCAGTGCACCGCGAACGCGTGGACTAGGCCGCATTCGCGAAGAGGAAGTGAGGCAGCAGTGGAGTTTGAGTGTTACTCTTCGCGGTCGCGTGAGGACAATTGCGATCGCGTAAGTGTGAGAAGCTAGTGCATCACATTCGCGTGAGGTATTATGCGTTCGTGTAGAGTAAATTTCTGAGGGAGCAAAGTTGTTCTTCGCGACCCCGAGGCCTCTTCCGGGATCGCGATTAAGGAGCCATTGGGCAGAATTAAAAGTTCAAAAATGAGGGTTTAAGTTCATATCACAAAATTTGATTGAGAGCTCGGTAGAGGGCGAAATTTGGAGAGATTTTCAGAGGAAGTTATTGGGTAACGATTCCTAACTCCTATATGATTAAATCACACTAATCTATGCTTGATTTAATCATTTAATTTCGGATTTAGGGTGGAAATAGGATAAAATTTGAGAAAAGTTCTTAGGCCGAATTTTGGGGTTTTGATCGAGATTTTGGTATCGGATTTGAGTAATTTTGGTACGAGTGAACTCGTGAGTGAATGGGTGATTGTATTGTGTGACTTTTACCCGATTCCGAGACGTGGGCCCGAAGAGGCTTTTTGAGTGATTTTCCAATTTCTTGCGTTAGCTTTGATTTCATTAGCTAGATTAGTTTCTTGTAGTTATATTTATACTATGTAATTGATCTTGGCTAGATTTGGGCCACTCGGAGCCGGATATTCGTGGAAAAGGCATTGTGACTGGTTGATTGAGCTTGGTTCGAGGTAAGTGGCTTACCTAACCTTATGTGTGGGAACTCCCCTTAGGATTTGGTACTGTTTGATATGTGAGCGCCATGTACGTGAGGTGACGAGTACGTACACGGGCTATTATTGCAAAACTCTCTTTTTTCATTAAGTAAAATACATGTCTTCCTTTAACTGAGCTACACTAGCATATGAATTTATCATGTTTAGTCTAAAACAGTATATCTGCGTGTCTTAATTGTTTATGTGAAACTCTGTGCAGCATGCTTAGTGAATTTCCTGCTTCCTCCTTGACTGGTACTTAGTCTAAATCGTAAGATTTCGTGATGTAGTTTTATTTCTATTGTTTGCGCTGCATATTTACCTTGGGACTACAGAGCAGTATTCCGGTAGATCCCCCTGTTCTGCATATTTACTTTGGGACTAAGGAACGGTATTCCGGTAGATCCCCCATGTTCTGCATATTTACTTTGGGACCACGAAACGGTACTCCGGTAGATCCCCTTGTTCTGCATATTTACTTTAGGACTACGGAACGGTATTCCGGTAGATCCCCCTGTCTTGCATATTTACTTTGGAATTACGAAACGGTATTCCGGTAGACCCCCTGCACATTTATATTTGGAACTACGGGACGGTATCCTCAGAGATCCCCTGTTGTTATCACTGTGTTCTGAGCTGTTGTCTTTCATTAATTCTATTCCTGTTAGATTTTCATATTTATTTTTTTTACTGCGGTATTTCATTCTGTCTTATTTTATTATATTTATACCAGTAGGGCCCTGACCTTATCTCGTCACTACTCGACCGAGGATAGGCTTGGCATTTACTGGGTACCGTTGTGGTGTACTCACGCCCTTTCCTGCACATATTTTTCGTGTGCAGATCCAGGTTCATCTTACCAGTCTCATCACTAGTTGCAGTCGCTGCTTCTTATTGAAGATTTCAAGGTACATCTGCCCGCGCCCGTAGATCCCCGAAGTTCCCTTCTATCCCCCTATGTTCATTTTTTCTTCCTTCTGTAGAAATGATGTATAGAAGAGTTAAGACTTCTTAGTAGCTTGTGACTTGCGGGTTTCCAGGTTTTGGGAACATTTTTCGTACTTTTTCAGATGTGATAATTGTATATGCCGAGTGGCATTCAGTTGCTTATTAGATATTTGTTACCGTTAGTAGTTAATGTTCATGCTTTTGTTTCATTTCCGCAAAGTGTTAGGCTTACCTAGTCGTAGAGACTAGGTGCCGCCACGACGGTTCACGGAGGGAGAAATTGAGTCGTGACAGTTATAGTGAATTTATATCTCATACTAACTTTAATAGTGTTGTGTTGTTTATACTTGTAATAAAAATATACTAGATATTTTATTTTCTATGAGTTTCTTTAATTCTTTTCAATTTTTTTAAAATTTTAACGTAATTTTATATTTTTGTGCTATTATGATACTACTTATTAATTTATAAATTAAAAAATATAAAGATTTAAGGGGCTTACGCCCCATATCTTGGAGCTTACGCCTCGCCCAGCACTAAATAAAACTCCTTGTCTCACGCTCTTGCCTCTTAAAACGCGGGTAAAAATCTAATACTCCCTCCGGTCTACTTTAATTTATTTTTTGGCCCTTTTGTGGTCCACAATATTTGATCTTTTAAGTTATCAAGAAGCAATTAACTGCTTTTTTCAAAATTGCCCTTGGAATAAAGAGTCTAGGAGTATTTATTATATTTTCAATAAATAAATTAAGGTTAATATGGTCAATTTTATTGTTAATTAATGCTAAAATGTGATATGTGTAAAAGGAACCAAAAAAATCAGTTAAAATAGACCGGATAGAATAGTGTACACTTCTAGTCATTAAAGAAGAGTGATGTTACTAATTAAGCAGTTTTTTCTTATATTAATGAGACTTCATTAATGTCTCTTCTAAAACTATTAAGTGTAGAGGGACCGTCCGATTGATTCATCTGAACATAAGAGATTTTTCAGATAAAATCGATAAAATGTTTGTTCATCCATAACGTCTGTTACATATCTAAGTTATATATTAATTTCTCTATTTATACTCGACTAAGGTAAGTTTATACCATACACTGTTGTGCTATCAAAAGAAAGGGTAAAGAAGATTTTCTTAAACTTCTCTCCTTTTTTATTTTCTTGTTTGTTGCTGTGCATTTCTTTGCTTCTGAATATATAGCCATGCTTCTATATTTGGATCAATCTTCATTCTTTACACTTAAATTTGTGGTTGCAAATGTCTTCTTATCTGTAATGCCAGCATTTGTTTAAGTTCATATATATTGTGAGCAGGGGCGAAGCCAGTATTCTGGCTACGGGTTTGGCGAACCAAGTAGTTTTGGTTCAAACCCTATATTTGTCTTGAAAAATTCATTAACTAGTTATATTTTGGCGAAGTGAGGGCAACGATAATAAAAATAATTTATATTTTGAGAAAAAATAAGCACCAATGTCTACCTTTTATATTTTGAGAAAAAATAAGCACCAATGTCTACCTACATTATTCGTTTAATAATCAATTGAACGAGTGCACTTTCTGTTGATATAAATTCTGTAGTGTATATAAACTTGTAAAAAAATTGTGCTTGTGAACTTTAACGTTATTGGATAATTGTTTATCTTTGCAGGAAATATGAATAAAATGATGGCTTGTAACCGGATGATGGTATTGGAGCAGATTTGTGGGTTTTTTCTAATACTATTTATGTCATTAATAGATTGTAAAACATACCCCCCATCCGTGGAAGAAGGTTGTTACTGCGATTGCATTTATTACTGGGTTAATTCAAGAGAAGATGTTCCTACACCGGCAGTAGGCCAAATGTGTAGAGATGGACTGATTCCAGATTTTCATTGTGACCTTAAAGATGAGTATGATAGGGCCCTTGATAAAACACCCTTTTTAGAGTTTCCGGACTGTGCTCCCGAGTTGTAACGCAGTTTTACATCTTTATTATATTCTTATCAAAATAACTTTATCATTGTAATAATATTGTTCATGTGATAAAAATAAATGCAACGCAAAGTACTGAAAGCTTTAATCGTCGTTCTAATTGATCCTCTAATTTTATAGCTTTTAATCTACTATTAATAGAGGACGCACTTATTCCTAAGCGAGAATATAAGAGTTTTCAAAGCGTTTTATCATGTTCCCGGAGTACTCCACGATTTTAATACTAGAGGGAAGATGCCCGAGCAAATGTTATTAAGATGCATAAATCATGATCAAGAGTTCTTTATGCAATACTGGTATAATATGACTCTTTCTTTACAATATCTGCAAAATGTGGTGTTGTATCATACGACTTTTTCTCTACAGTATGTATAAAAATAATACACAAAAGTGGTGCCTTTCCAGCAATCAATCCAGAGCCTCATTTACAACATTTTTTCAGCTTGCCTCTTGTTCTACCACAAGGTTGTATCATTACTGATATCTGATATAAAACCTTTGATGATAGAGAAGGAGTTCTCTAAGCACGGGCCCGACGTTGTATTGCAATATATACAAGTTTTAAGTAGCATTTTTAATGCATAAAAATAGAAATTCTCCTCAGCTGAATGCAGGAGAACCAAAGAAAGCGGACTCCGCGCAGAAAGCAAAATAGCACCGAATATACTGATTGAAACTCGACGGTCCACATTGCACAATGCTATTACTAATCTTACATCCTCCAAGGGGACCAAGAACCAAGAATATATTATCTCTTCACGCCTGCAGAGATTAAGAAATTATTTTGAAAACAGTTACATCGAGTTTATTACTAAAAGCAAGCACAATAGAGTGCCACTAGGCAATATGTACAATGTTTAACAAATAGATTCCAGTTTATATAGTGAGGCTCTAAACTACTCATAGATCCTATTTAAATATCGAACAACGCCTTGTTCAGATGAAGATGTAGCAGAATGCAATGAAGGAGGACATAGCCCCTCAAAAATGTTTATGAAGGGGATGCGATGATAGAGATCTGAAGCCAACTTTGGCTGGTTAATCCGATGAGTTCATCGACAATATAGTCCTAATTAGGGGTGTACATATGTCGGGTTGGTTCGGATTTTACAATTACCAAACCAAACAAATTGTATCGGTTTTTAAATCTATAGGCCAAACCAAACCAACAAAAGTCGAGTTTTTCAATATCGGATTTTCTCGGGTTTTTCGGGGGTTTTTTTCGATAAACTTGTGCTCCAAATATTTCTATAGTCCTAAATACAATTTTATCAATAACAACCATGTTTTTATTTTTTAGCATTGACCCCAACTATGCTAGTCAATAGTTTGTATGGTTCCACTTTATAAAGGTCTCTACTTTATAAATTATTTTCCACTTTACACCAAAATACTAATAAAAGCTTAAAGCAATTGACCTGTCCAACTTCAATTGAACCTTAGATAAATAATTAGAAAGAGCAGGTTGGAGTATCATGGACAAATCAATTGCTTTAAGTATTGTAAAAAGTCTAATTTCTTCAACTATCAAATCAACCAAACCTTTGAGAAATAATGTAATACAAAAGCTTCTTAATCGATTAAAAACCATGCATCAACTTTCTTTTAATTAATTACCTTAAAGTAGTAAAAATTTCAAAAATAATCATGAAGTAAATTGTAGTTAACTATCCCTCTAATCAATCCTCAAAGGTGAGTCTGCATATTCCGAAAGAAAAGAAACAATTAACATATTTAATATTAAATAATATAAAAAAAATAACTATACTCATTAACAATTGAATATAAATTATTACCTTCTTCAACTTGCTCAATTTTCTGGACTTCCTCTAACATGTCTTCAAACTTATATTCCTTGGAAATACATCAATGTAAGAAATTATGTAAGAAATACATCACTCTTAATTTTACATAGTCCATATTATTTAACCAAATGATTCGAAATATAAGTAAAAAAGTTTCAATATCTTTTTAAGTAACAGTCAATTACTCATGTTAATCATCTAAGAGAAACAAAATAAACAAATGAATTCGATAATAGGGAGGAATACAACAGATTTACAAAAAAACTCGCTAATCGAAAAAAGAAAAATATTAGTTAATTGAGAAAAAGTAAGGCGTATGTATGCAGCTAAAAGATAACATGTAAAATGAGAAAGGGAAGAGCCTTACCAATGAGAGCAAAAGAGAGTTGATATGGTTTGAGCTAATTGGGCGTTTTAGAATGGAACTATAGGGTTTCTTGCTTTTGGAGAAGAGGCAAAATGATTTCAATTGTTTAAGTGTTTTAGAACAGCTTTAGGACTAGTCTAGTTTTGCTTTAAGACTAGGTTTGGTTTGGGCTCAATTATTCTTTTATGGGCTAGACAAAAACAAACATTTACATGAGCTATAAAACCAACTTAAAATATTATGCTAAATATAGAAATTATAAAAAAGATTAAGAAATATTTATAACTTACATTCTAATAAATATTTTTATCTATCTAATATATAAAATATGTATACATGTAAAGTCGGGTTGGTTTGGTTTCGATTTGAATTTTTTTAGTTAATACCAAACCAACCCTATTATGGTCGGGTTTTATTTTTAATACCAAACCAGGTCTAACCAAACCACTAATCGGTTTTTTTTTCCGGGTTAGACTCGAATTTTTGAGTCAGTGCGACATGTATTTCGTGTGTATCTCACGAGCAGATTTAGAAAACCTCGTGAATTGAGTACTTTATTTAATGCTAGAAACAGTTATACTGTAGCTAGTTGATGTGAATATCAGTTTCTTGGTGCTATTTGTAGCTAACAAAACTTTACCTTTCTGATTAAAAAAAGATATAGGGAGAAAATATGGTCAACGTTTAAATCAGAAATTCAGAAAAATATGGACTCATATCTGCTGTAGATCAACTAGAAAATATACTTGCCTAAAGTAGGATTGAGATTGTTGTGCAAATTCACATCATAAAATTTACAAAACATACCTTAATTTTCGAAATACTTTATAGGCCACATTTCCCTAATGTATGGTTTTAACATTCGATAAACTGGGTCTATCGGAAACAGTCTCTCTACCTCAGAGTAGGGGTAAAGTCTGCATACACACTACCCTCCCCAGACCCCACTAGTGGAATTATACTGGATTGTTGTTGTTGTAACATTCGATAAACTCTATAAGAAGAAAAAAAGGAAAGAAATAAAAGTACTTGTTATTCTTTACATCAAGAAAAGGATTGCAATTGAAATTTTAGTTTGATAGTTTGAAATACTTTTCAAGTAGCACTTGTAAAATATTGAATTCTGATAAGCATTCATTTTATGTTTGTGCGGAAGTCCTACAAACATGCACCAGTAAGAATCTATGAAAATGTGTTAAAGATCCACACTTATAAGGTTAAGGTGAATTATATATGCATAATAGTAAATGAGCTAAGTTATGATACGTGAATACGATGGGATACGACCGCCCGTAATGTCTTTCCGTTGGTATGTAGTTGGATCGATGCTTATCATCAAAGAGAAAAGCAAAGCAAAAGACAACCACAATGAGGGTGTATACGGTCGAAATAGATTTTGGCCTTCGTACGATCGATCGAGGTCGAAACACAATGGATCGAAGAAAGACTTCGAGATGGGTTCCGAAGATGGCACAAACAAGCTTCGGATTCCAGGTATAGGTCAAACACCGAGTTCGAAGTCATCATCGAGCTCGGGTCCAAATCGAACTGAGATGAGATGCTTTCGAGCTTAAGGGGCAGAGGCCAACCGGGACCGAGTCTGAATCATCACCTGATCCCGAGTCCACATCGAGCTCCAGAAGCACTACCGACCAACACCGAGGCCGATCGAGTTCGAGCTCACAAACAAGAGCCGTTGCAAACACACTAAGGGAGAGAATCTCGGCGAAAATTAGGAAAAAACTGATTTATCATGGATTCTCCACTATGTATTTTTAATTATATCTAAAGTAGGATCCTCCACTATAAAGAGGATGGCTACATTTCTGTAGAAGGTAGTTTTTGGCTTACATTGTAATTCAAGCACCATATTCTCCTATATTGAAGAGTTGTTCTTTTAAGATTCATAAATTGATTCAACTTTCTGAGTCCTAGAAATCACCTTCTTTAAAACCTTGTTTACTTCGCATTCTTTGCAATCCATATTTGATATTCCAATTTATCCCTACGATTTGTATTAAGCTATACCATATATCCTTAGAACTACGTACAAATTCAACTCTATCCGTGTTTTCGGGTAAACAGTTTGGCGCCCACCGTGGGGCCAAGGATAACAGTGGTTATTTGATACGAATCTGCAAAAACACACCGTTTTGCGCTTGTTTCCGAAAGTATCTCGGATTTCGAATTAGCAACGACTAACCACCAATCAAATGGCCTTACCTATCGATAACGAAGCTGGTCTTCAAGATGAGAAGAACAACTTGACACCCAGTACTGAAAGACCACTTGTCAACGCCGTTGGAGCTCGGATCGGAGTGCCGATAAATATCAATTCATATGTGGCCATTAAGGCGAACATACATTCTGAACCTGAAAATAGCATTGATGGTGGCATTCGGTCTGCAGCTCGAAACACCCATAATATTGAGGAAAACGGCGTCAGCTTGTATATGATTTTTGAAATGTTACAAGCCCAACAACTAGCGATAGCTCAGTTGCAGAGCCAAACCAAGTAGGCCGGAGCCCAGTCCACCCCGAGAAATTTCCCACGGAACGGAGTCAGCCATAGTGAGGTCAAATGAGCAAGAATTGGGGACTACTCCCGAAATCGCTAAAATACTCGAGAAGCTCACAAAGCGAGTCGAAGCCAACGATAAAAAAGTAGAAACATATAATTCCAGGGTCGACCAGATCCCGGGGGCTCCACCAATGATAAAAGGGTTAGATTTCAAAAAATTCGTGCAAAAGCCTTTCCCCTCGAGCGCGGCCCCAAAACCAATTCCCAAAATATTTTGTATGCCCGAAATTCCCAAATATAACAGAACGACCGATCCCAATGAACACGTCACCTCTTACATGTGCGCCATCAAGGGTAATGATTTGGAGGACGATAAAATCGAATATGTGTTGTTGAAAAAGTTTGGAGAGACCCTCTCGAAGGGAGCAATGATTTGGTATCACAACCTACCACCGAATTCGATCGATTCATTTGCTATGTTAGCCGATTCTTGCGTAAAGGCACACGCCGAGGCCATAAAGGTCGCAACGAGGAAATCGGACCTTTTCAAGGTAAGACAAAAGGACAACGAGATGCTAAGGGAGTTCGTATCTCATTTTCAAATGGAACGAATAGATCTGCCACCAGTCACGGATGATTGGGTTGTTCAAGCTTTCACCCAAGGTTTGAACGAAAGAAGTTCGACGGCATCATGGTGACTGAAGCATAACCTGATCGAGTACCCAGCTATCACTTGGGCCGATGTGCACAATCGGTACCAATCAAAAATTAGAGTCGAAGATGATCAGTTGGGGGATGAACCCGCTGCTCAAAGGGATATCAATCGAGAACAAGGTTCGATCAGGGATCGATATTGACCGTATAACGGAAACCACAGAATCAATGAATCGAGATGTAACCCTGGACGAATCAACAAAATAAGTGATCGTGGTCAAGTGTCTCGGGGACCGATGAACAGAAGTAGGTTCGACAGGCCTACCGGATCTAAGGAAGCGCCTCGGTTATCGGAGTATAACTTCAGCATCGATGCATCCGCTATTGTGTCAGCTATCGGACGCATCAAAGACACTAAATGGCCCCGACCCATGCAGACCGATCATGTCCATGGAAATCCCAATCCAATGTGCGAATATCATGGCACTCATGGCCACAGAACGGAAGATTGCAGGCAACTAAGAGAGGAGGTAGCCCGGTTATTCAATAAGGGGCACCTTCGAGAATTTTTAAGCGACAAGGAAAAGAACCATTTCAAACACAGGGATTTCGGCAAGCAGAACGAACAAGAAGAACCACAACACGTCATTCACATGATCATCGGCGGTGTCGATACCCCTCAAGGGCCGGTGCTTAAACGCACTAAGACATTGATTGTAAGAGAAAAGCGATCTCGAACTCAGGATTACGCACCCATAGGAACTTTGTCTTTCAATGATGAAGATGCAGAAGGAGTCATACAACCTCATAACAATGCACTGGTAATATCCGTACTTATGAATAAAACTAAAGTTAAGCGTGTGTTAATTGATCTAGGGAGCTCGGCCAACATCATTAGGTTGAAAGTCATACAACAACTTGGTCTACAGGACCAGATCGTACTCGCGACCGTGGTCTTAAACGGATTCAATATGGCATATGAAACCACCAAAGGCGAGATAATTCTACCGATAAATGTGGTCGGGACCATCCAGGAAACGAAGTTCCACGTAATTGAAGGCGAAATGAGGTACAATGCACTTTTTGGAAGGCCATGGATCTACAGCGTGAGAGTTGTACCCTCGACCCTACACCAGGTTCTTAAATTCCCAACATCGAAGGTGTCAAAACAGTGTACGGAGAGCAACCAGCCGCAAGAGAAATGTTTGCCGTCGAGGAAGCGAATCCGATATCCTGGCCTTCGCCAATAAAGGGACCGAGCTCAAAAGGGGAACAAAGTGCCAAATAGAAATCACAGACACCAGCTTTAACCCAACTAGAAAATTAGAAGATCGATGAAGATGATGATCATAGGATTCCTCGATCCTTCCTGCTTCCCGATGATTCCGACGCCACCCAATCAACGATCAAGGAATTAGAGCAAGTCATATTAATAGAGCGTTTGCCCGAATGAAAGGTATACCTCAGAACGGGATTAACCCCCGAACTCAGGAACAAACTTATTCAATTTCTTATCGATAACATGGATTGTTTTGCTTGGTACCATTTAGATATAATAGGAATCCTACCAGATATAACGACACATCGGTTGATTAGGTTCATATCGGTAAAGCAAAAGAGAAGACCCCAATTCGAGGTAAAGCACACATTTATAAAAGACGAGGTAACCAAACTTCTCAAAATAGGGTCCATCCGGGAGGTGAAATATCCCGAATGGTTAGCCAATGTAGTTGTAGTACCTAAAAAAGGGAACAAACTTAGAATGTGTGTAGATTATAAGGATTTAAACAAAGCATGACCCAAAGATTCCTTTTCGCTGCCCAATATCGATCGCATGATCGATGCCACAGCCGACCACGAGATCCTTACTTTTCTTGATGCCTATTCCGGGTATAATCAAATCCAAATGAACCTGGAAGACCAGGAAAAGACTTCATTTGTCACCAAGTATGGGACATATTGTTATAATGTGATACCCTTCAG